GGTACCCTTTAAGAAGAGGAAGAAGAAGAAAAAGGTAAAGATACAAAGTATGAACAACAAATACACATCTATCAACAAGTGAATCTAAAAATCAAGTGAATAAATAATCTGATGAACATAATAAACTGGTGAATATAATAGAATCAGTGGCATAGAAAGGGAGTGGACTGACTATTCTCGGTGGCAGGGGGAGGGGTGTGGGGGGATGCAGGAAGAGTCTGGACAAAAACCATACACCTATGGATGAGGACAGTGGAAGGGGGGTAAGGGCAGAAGGTGGGGTGGGAACTGGGTGGAGGGGAGCTATGGGGGGGAAAAAGAGGAACAACTATAATAATCTGAACAGCAAAAATTTAATTTAAAAAAATGCCACCCAAATAAGTGTGTATACAATGGAGGTTTTGTACTACAGAAGTCCCTCTTTATATACAGTTTTGCTATCCACAGTTTCAGTTACCTCTGGTCAATTGTGGTACAAGACTATTAAATGGAACATTTTGAAAGTAAAAAATAAATAAATAAGTAAAATAAAATGTGCTTCTTGAAATGTTAATAGCTATTATATTTAAACAAAATAAAAAAGACTTGGTATTGTAGGGTTGTTGTTTTTTTCTTAGAGGAGAAACAAAAAAGCAAATAAGTTGAACTTTTAAAAAGTATATATTGTAATTCTATAAAGTAGTTGTTTGGGGAAAACATTTTTTGGAAAAAAACTTTTTTCTTTAAAGTAAGCAGAGATCTTTGTTTTATTGCTGAGGTTTTGTGAACACTTCCAGAATTATAAAGTTATTACATTATTTTAAATACTTAAATAATTAAGAAGACTAAAATATTATGTAATTTGTGGTAAGCTACTATTAAGCATTTTCTTGGAAACTAATAATTTAGTATCAAAGATAAGATTCATTAGTGTCCAAGTTAAAGCTGTAGTCACCCAATGGAGTAGGAGGAAGATAAGACAGTATTAAAGCTGATCTCCTCATTGGAGCAGTGATGTCAGCCATTTAGAAACTTCCCAATGGTATTGATTGAGACTATGTGCTAACGACTGTGAAGCCACAACATGGAGAGGCCAGAACTCCCTCCCCACATGCACTCCTTAGACTGAAGTGAGTGAGGAAGAAACTCCGGAAATTTAGCGCTAAACCACTGAAATGTTGAGGTTGCTGTTATTGAGCTAGTATTACTGACACTGAGAAAACTGAGGCCCAGAAGTGTAAGAGCATGCCCAAGGTTCCACGGTGAACAAGGGCACAGCAGTCCTGTATTCTTTCTACCCAAAGATAAAGCTTTATTTAGAGGAGACTTCATCGCTTTATTCTCTTATTTTTAAAAACCAATTTGCAAGTAATATTTGTTCCCTCTCATAGCTTATCTTAGGTAAAGGTAAAAATTGCACCAAATGTCAGGACATTAAATCAAGTCATTACATAAAATTACAGTGGCAACTACTCCAAAACATTGAAGCAGATCTATAATATAGCACATTAAGATAAATGAGATAACACTGCTTAAACTTTCCACTGTTACCCAGTAATAGAATAGCCTGACATGACAGTCAGAGGTTTGCACATCCTCAACAGTAGGAATTCTATGTACTTCAGGTAACTCTTTCCTCTCCTACCAATTGTTCTGCTCTAAATTAAATTATATGGGTATTTCTTACTTTAACAAGCCCGCCATGTAGGGCATGGTGTCTTTAAACACAATCCTAAATAGAAACCCTAATAAATCACTGTGTTTTGGATCTGAGCCATGTCTCCACTGGAAATTGGAATGGAAGATAAATGGTTCTGCAGAGGGACATTCACCTAAACAGGTTTAGCCTCAGTAACAATGGCAATGTTTTACAGGGACATAAGAATCCAATGGAATCTCCAGGGAAGCTGGAAAGGTGCAATGTGAGTACAGTGAATCCAGGTCCTCCCTGTTAAATAGCCATTCTTAAGCCAATCCTGACCAAGACTTAAAGATCTCAAAAGCAAAAAGTAAGCAATAGAGGCATTAGGAGCTGCCCCCGCCCCACACTTTGTAAGGCGAAGAGCAGATGGAAGCATAGAAATGTATATCTGGGCAGGGGAGATGGCAGGAAGCAAAAGGCAAGAGCAGGGACACCAGAGGTCACATTTAGGGTGGACAAGGGGAAGCACAGGCTTGAGACCTAAAATACTGACCAAGCCAGAGGAGAGAGAAAGATGCTTATGAGGGTGGAGGAGGGGAGAATTAAGACTTTAAATTTAAAACTAGATTCAAAACCTAATTCTACTATAATCAGAAGACTATTGGGAATTTATCTCTTATAGCTTGTTTCTTCATATGTATAATGAGAATACAGAATTGTATCGAATAGTATATATTATGCAAATTCAAATGAAACTGCTCAGCAGAGAAAGAGAGAGAGAGAGAGAGAGAGAGTAATAGTATATATTATGCAAATTCAAATAAAACTGCTCAGCAGAGAGAGAGAGAGAGAGAGAGAGAGAGAGAGA